TCATTAAATTACCAGGTTTCCTAGAACGGGCCTGTGAATTAGAAATGAAAGAAATAACATATTTAATGACGTTAGATAATTAATTTACCAAATATGTTCTGGACTAATTAGCATTGACGGCTAAATATACATTAAAGTATTTATAGAACGGCATTTACTACTTTAATTTATTAAAATATAAATAGTTCGACACGTCTAAATATAACAGGAGCGAGATTCATGTTTTTCGTAATTTATTTTTCAACTAATGTAACCATATGGTGGGTGTCAATTCTCATATTTATATGAGTCATATCATAGTAAGCACCTAAGAAATTTAAAAAAAAAAAAAAAAAAAAAAACTAGTAGTGCATGGCATTGCGCCTTAAGGAAAATTGCAGGAACTTCCCTCACCACAAATATTTTTTAAAAAAAACCTTTAAAATTTTATTAAAATTTTGAAAAATGAGATTTTTTATAATTTTGAAATATTTTAAGAAAAAATGACATTTTTGAAAAATTTTAATATTTTTTTATATCTCGATTTTTTTATACTTTGAATTTTTCTGAAAAATTTGAACTTTTTGTTCAAAGCAATCGTGCTGCGTAGCGATTTTAGAGAAGAAATAGCGAAACGCGTAAGCGCCGCATTGCAGTCTAACGGATAAACATTGGTACAGAACCCATAGAAATGAAAACAAAATTCATACATATTATTAAAATCTCTATAAAATGATCAAATAGCATTTTTCCTTTTTTTCATCGATCTCTGAAACCTGCCTTCGCCAAAAACTAATCAGCACGTCTCCATTTTGTCTATACATATAAAATGTTTTTTTTGAATTATTCAAATCGGACGCTCCGTTCTCTCTTTTTGTCCCGTATCTTCGAAACGGCTAGACCTGCCTTTGACGAAACAATACGAATCAAATGTTTTTTGAATTATTCAAATCGATTGATCCGTGTTCCCGAAATCGCCAACAAAAATTTGTATCCGCACACACACACACACACATCCATTTTTTCTAATGTATGCCAAAATGTTCAGAAACCTCTGGAACGTAAAGATAAAAAAGCATAAAAATAGGTTAAAAAACAATACCAAAATGGTTTATAACAACTTTTATTGTCAAAAATTTGTAACACAACACACTTACTTTGGACTCTTTATAAGCAATGCGGTGTAAAAATCATGATAATTGACTGAAAGCAATAATGAGAACTTGTTCGGGCAAACATACTTCATCTTTCTCCCTTCGGACCCTATCTCAAAATCTAAAATACAGATCATTATAATTGACTGAAAGCAATAATGGAAACTTGTTCGAACAAACATACTTCACCTTAGCACAGTTTAGCTGTTATCACGACTGTCACTACTGTACCTTGGCACAACCCTTACCAATCTCTTCTACTAAAGGCGCTTCAGAAAAAAATCAAATGCTGAGAAAGCCACATCCGAATAAGATTGAGAACATCTGGTATACAGGTTGAAACCCGCGAGGAGGGCGCCAGGCTGTTCCAAGGGGGTTCGAAAATAACGCAAAATTTTTGAAATGATATTGAACAATAAACAAAAAAATTATCAGTTTTTATGTATATTTTTAAATAACATTGCATATTTGTTTGTAGTCTGATGATATCAGTTGAGTTTATAAAATTTATAAAATTAAATTGTTGAAAAAATTAAGGCAGGCGCAATTATTTTTTTGCAAGAGCAAAAAAGATTGGAAACCACTGCAGTAAACCTTGTTATATCGGATTATAAAAATAACTACAAGAATTAGCATTACCAATTAAACGTTTAAGAATAAATAAAATAATATATAACATTTCCATTCATCTCATACACGTTTGTATATATAACACCAATCTGTATTTCTTCAATCATTTCAATTTGATATGTAAATTATCTTCTGACATCTGTTTTTTTACTTCCAGTTGTAGATGAACAAACAATTCTTCTGTATATTTTTATAATAAATCATTTCTACTTTTGTTCTAAATTAATTTAAAATATGGATGTCGCACGTGTGTTACTGACCACAACAATGTTGTGACATCGTTACAACATGTGTGTCCGTGACCACAAAAGCCGTTAATGCTTTGTGGAGATAGGAATTCATTATCGAAGTGGTTGATTAAATGCAAATAACAATGATGAAATTCATTAATTGTACATATACAGATGCATATTGTGCTGTGGTGTAACCTCAAGACTTGCAACCGCAAAATCCTGCTACGCGTGTAGGAATCAAGCGGCAGTGATATCAATTCCGCTTGAAAATACATACAGCTAAAAAACACGTTTATAAGTGAGTTAAAACAAGAAAAAAACTAACTTATTATTAAATATGAAGAAAATTGGTCCAAACAAAAATAAAAATGTTGGGAGTGAGCAATCATTAATAAAAATGAAGTCTAGAAGTATCTGGAAGATCTTATTCCGAAAATTCAGTAAAAAAAACGATCACAAAAAATACAACAATTGATCAAATTACTAGAATGAATAATAATGAAAGAAGAAAAATAGAATGAAAATATATTGCAAAATAAGGACTTGAGTAAGAAGGTGAAAATTTAGGGTTGCATCCTTTTTTCAATTCCACATTATAAAAAAATCAATTAAAGAAAGTTGTTAAAAAAAATCCAGAAAAACTGTTAGGGAAATATGTGTACCAAATTCTTCGGGTAGTACAGTACATCAAATAACAAAAAAAATGTACTATCTTTAGTTTTCCCGAACTTCTTAATCGAATTACTAAAAAAATATTTAAAAATAACACTTGGACTAGAAGGTGAAAATTTAGGGCTAAATGCACTTTCAGTTCCGCATAATAAAAAATTAGAATGAAAAAAGTTGGTCAAAAAAATCTAGGAAAACTGTTAGAAAATATTGGAGCTAGAACTAGATTTTCCGAAATATTTTAAAATTTCGAATCAGTTACATTTTGGTATTAAAACATAATTCGAGCTAGCGATTATTTTTCTTTTATATCTAATTAATGTTCCGTAAAATTTTTGTTTGGCTAATGTACTAGTTTATTAGACCAAATATATAAATAATAATTTCTAATCAATAAACTTACGTTTAGTACACGGCACAAATGTTTAATTTGTTTTATTATTTTCAAGAAACAGGGTAAAATATTCTTCTGATTCAGGCATTTTTCATTAAATCAAAATTTGTGCTACGATGTAACTTTGAAATGTTCATTTATCTATGCCGATTTTCTTGTTGATATCGGTACGCATTCAACGTTGATGCCGGTACACATACACGACGGCTAATCACAATCGACCCGTATAGAAATGATCTCATCGAGAGCGAATGACGAACAGTTCGGGCGTAACGGACTTCCGTTGCATTTGTCCGGATTTACACCCTAGACGCGCATAAAGAAGTTTTACTTCAAAAACATTTTTGTTGAGAAAATATAATAATTATGAAAATATTCGTCGGTGAAAACCTTTTTGACTCTTTCACTATACAACTTTATAATTTATAATAAAATCAAAGAATGAAATTGACCTAATATGAAATATATGAAGTCTCAGAGATAAAATGGGGATTATTTATCTAATGATAATAGTATTAAAACCTAGAATACATGTTTGTTTTGATAATAATTCTCAATAGTCTGATAAGATTCACTCACTTTATATCTAGTATTAATAAAAATGAAAAATTGATTTTCATATTATAATATTTATGAAAAATCCTTCTCTAACTACTTGAATAATCTATATCCTAATTTATCATCCTACGATGAACATGTGACTAATAGGATCTTGGTGGTTTTGATATAAGTAAATCATAGAAATACTAGTTTAGAATTTGAATTAATGGATTTGTGGATTTAAATAAAATAATTTTGTGATATAAGGTCTAAGTTGCCAATGAATAAGCCAGTAGTTATTCATGCGATGAATCTATTGTGATCTAGACCAAGCTTGTATACAAAAATCTTTAATTTTGGAAGAAAATAAATCCATAACCAAATATATTTATGTATTATCTCAATACATTTAATGCAACAAGTTTTGATCTAGGACTGCTATAAATGAAAGTGATTCATAATAAAACCCATACAAAATAAAAACCTGTCTAGTCGGTTTATTTTAAATTAGGAAGATGGTTGCAACATTTGATAATTCAAATACTTTAACGATAGGCCTGTAACATAAGGAATAAATAAAAAGCAAAAATCTCATTTTGCCCACTTATAAAACCAATTTCTTGACACTATAATTGTTGCCATATATATATACTTCTATTGCCACCAACTTCCTAGTACTCAATTTATTACAATGGAATTTTAATCTTGTATATTAATTCTCATAATGACAAACAAGGTCGCCCCTAGAAGTGCATTCAAGTTTAAATAATATGAAGTAACCTAGTTGATAACAATTAGCATAAGTTATTAACGCAAGCCTGACAAATGTGATAATGTAAATTAACCAATGCATGTATGAGTTTCTGATCAACATACAAACAGACAAGGAGCTTGCAACGTATTCTCAAGAATTATTGTATCAAGTTTCAAGTTATGACGAATAATTAATTGGTCTTTGATAATGCCTTATTAGTCATGTTATGAGATAAAATAATGCATCATGGGTCGTGTTGTAGTCCTTATATATAAGAGCGCTGAAAAGTCTTTTAGTCTACAATAATTTGGTCTAGGTTTCACAAAATTTGTATAGGTGACAATAAAGGGATAAATTATGTGAATTGGTGTCAGCTTAATTTTGTGCCCAAAAAATCTTGATATATGTATCAAGCAATAAAATGTTAGGGTTGTAGCTAAAATGAAAACATACAAAAAACTTTGAAAATTAAACAAAATTGTTATGGTAATAGGATTTATGTAAGAGTTATACCAAAAAGTGGATTTTGTATCAAAATATTTCCTTTACCTCGGTTATTGTTTAAATAACGTTGCAAGCTTCCTTACTAACATGAAATATGAATATACATACAAAATGACCCCGGTAATAACAAACATTATTTTTACCTGTAATACGACAACACCCCATTACTCAGCACAAACCAACGTCTTTGATATCCTTTCAAGTAATTTGTCCATTTCAAGAGCCATCCTTTCATTTCTGGCTCGTCTTTTGTCTGGACAGCCGTTTTGATGGAAGAATCCGACATGTTTGTGATTTATTTCACTTTAGCACAGGATTAAGAGATTAACAATAACTTTTTCGTATTCATTTATCCGTTTCGGCACTGAAGTGTTCTTTTAATAAATATAATAGCATTTATTTAGCCACGTATTACTTCATTTTTATCGAGAAAAACACATACAGTACGTACAGTACGAGTGGAGAAATGTCACTGCAGGTTATGTTGGATAAACTGACGTGTTTTATCGTGAAGTTGGATACGAATCAAAAATAATTTGGGTGCGTTTGATTGGACGGCAGTAAAAGATGGCGCTGGTATTTATTTGACATTTCAACATTTGAGAAATGTTTATAAAATAAATATTTATATGTGAGTATCGTGTAATTTCGAGATACATAATTTAGTTGGTATTTTAAATAACGCACATGTAAGATAAAATAATATATGTTTAATTACTTATGTAAATATAATTGATATTAATTCTTGTGAATATAATCAAAACATAATGCTAAATATTGACAATTAAGATGCCAATTAAAAATAATAATTTAATGACATCCAACAAGTTCAGCCAATCTTAATGGTAATAATGATTTTTTTTAAGAATTGATTTAAAAACATATTTTATTGGATAGATTGAACTACTACTACTAGTTTATTACCCATGGCTATTATACTATAACAATGTTTATAAATATTGATACACATTTTATCCTAATAATCAGAATATATAATATATGAGGGAAAAATGGAAAAAGATCAACAATTCCCCAAAAAAGGCCACATTTCAATGATTGCAAAAGTTATTAGGTACTATCATAACTCTTACAAAGAAGAATTATGATCCGATTACTCCTAGGGATCGATCAGTATATAGTTTGGTATACCTAACTATTTCGCGTGTATACTAGACAAGGGCCTTGATATTGTTATTTAAATGATCCTTATATTTTAGGTAGAAGTTTCTAAACTATATCACATTTATTCTGGCCCAGGGCCTGGATGTTGCTATTCGAGTAATCCTTACATTTTAGGTAGAAGTTTCTAGTGAGTATATTTTGATGAATGCTGCTGTCAAATAATTTCATTATGAATATATACAAAGCTGGCATTTATTTAAAAAAAAAATACAATTATTATTTAGTAATTTTATGTATTAGCTTCAAAAATCTTTTATGTTGAGAAGTGTTTTTAACATGATGATTCTAGTTTAGTTTATAAATTATGCCTTGAAGCACAATCGCTGAGAAATGAGTAAATGTCACCTCTGTATAACTTTATGGTCTCTAGCAGAGTATGAAGCTAATCCATTAGCACTATCGAACAGCTTATCTACAAAATTAAGGAAATCAGCAGGCAGTCCTGGTGTCTTCGTGAGGAAGATGATCATCTAAAATATGATTAAAAAACAATATAATAAGAAACAGGGATAAAGTATAGTGAATAATATTTTATTTTACTTATACTGTTTAGTAGCATATATGTTCATCATTGAAGATATGCTGTATATTCAATATTACTAGATTACTTCTATTTTTCCCAATTTTTCATGATAAACATTATGTTCAAGCAACTTATAATACATACAGAAGTTAGGTGATTCTGAATCAATTTCATATAATTTGATTATATGACTACAAGATGCCTTTTACAGTTACTTCCTTTGCACAAATGTAATATCATATAATGAAAAGCGATTTCTAAAACATTTAAGCATATACAGAGAATCATTCAGTAATACAATTTCTTTATTGCATATAGGAAAACCTTTAAGCTTGCAAACTCTAGCATACCTAAAAACTGTAAGGCTAATTTTGGAAACGTTTCCCAAATTTCCAAAGTGGTCAGCTGGACCATAATATGACAACATTGTTGATAGGTGTCTTTCTTAAAGACTTAAGAACGTTACACCAAAATAAGAAAGAACAACTTACTTAGAAGAATCTCCTGGCATGCTGAATTCCTACTGTTTACTTAAGAATCTCAAGTGTTTTGTTTTCCTGGCATGACATTATTTGGGACTAGTTCTTGCTTTTCTTCAGTCCTGATCGAAACAAAACAGTAATTGTAATTTTGTTATAGTTTAATCTTGTAATTTAGAACTTTGAGACATTTTAATTTCTTTTATAATTTTCTTAATTATAAAAAGAATCATATTAGTGTGAATACTCAAATACAATGTGATTAACCAAGTCCATGTATAGCATGTAGAAAAAAAAATCAAAATATAATCATCTTATCTGTTTGTTGAGATAAATTTAAAACATAAATACCACTAGAATGAAGAGATTGAATTCAGAACAGTGGATGCACACTTCTCTTGGTGTGAAAAATATCAATAAGCAATCATAATATATAGTCATTTAAATATGTATTTGAAAGATATTACCTTATCATAAATAATTAAATGCTCTTTTGAAAATTTGAGTTATGGTACAAAATCAATATTATCTAACAAATTTGAAATGTTCCACAAATTTGAAACCTTAAATATATACTACTAGAAAGAATGAAAAGATTGAATTCAACTAGAATGAAAACAGTGGCATGCTTACTAATAATTTCTCGATGAACATATATAGTGCAATTATAAATCATATAAATAAGTAATTACAATAATATAATCATATGATTAAGTACATATATGAAAAATAATACTCCAATATAATTATAATAGATAATAAATGCTCTTCTACAAATTTGAGTCCAGATACGAGAGTAATGTTGCCCAATAAAATAATAGATATGTAATGACAATATAATCATATGATTAAGTACGTATATGAAAGAGAATACTCAAATATATAATTATAATAATTATTAAATGCTCTTCTATAAATTTGAGTCAAGATACCAGAATAATGTTACCCAATAAAATAATAAATAAATAAAGATAATATAATCATACGATTAAGTAAATATATGAAATATAATACTCGAATTTAATTATTATAAATAATAAATTATCTTCTATAAATTTGAGTTATGATACAAAATCATGTTACCTAATGAAATACATACACTTTATAAGATAATTTTCTTACATATTTAGTATCATACTTACTTAATCTTAGGTCTGGTAAACAGAAGTATTTTTTGGTAGGAATTCATATTCGTATTCTGCTACTTCATTTGTAGTACTTGCATTTCTTCAGTCCTTATTACAACAGCAATTGTAAGCTTTAATTTTGAAAAAGAAATAATTTTGTTGCTTTGTACAATTTTTAATTTTGAAAAAAACTGAAATTCAAATATAAATATGTATGTTACCAATTGTTCGCGACAATGTTTTATATAAAAAATCTTTGCTACTAGATTCGAGCAATTAGAAAAAAAATGAATGTAAACTGTTTTTTTATGAGCGTAGAGGGCTTTGGTATTTAATCTAAAAACAAAATTTAAAATGCAATCGGCATAAAAATCGTCGCGACAAAAATAAAATTAATTTTTTTTAGTTATTTACTTTTCCAAACATCGAAATGTTCGGGCACATCAGTCTGCAAAGTGCGTGATGGGTGCCCACAAATATTCAGCAGCATAAGGTGGTAATCCGGATTATACGACTTTATCAAGGATTTATGTCCATCGATATGTCCTGAGATTTGGTAACACAATTTGTAAGTTTTGAAAGATATTTATAATATAAAAATATGATATAGTAAAAATATATTTAGATCTTCTAATTACAAATTTCTATTTTTGCCTCCAACGTTATATTGGAAGATATGGGAATATTGGTTTTAATTTTTTTTTTTTGAATTAAATTCATTAATAATTGCTTAAATTTCTCTAATATCTGAATCTAAATTAGAAAGAAAAATGTACGGGAAATCATCAGAGGATCACATATTATCAGAGAAGAAAGTTGACGCCCTGGACATTGACCAAAAGAAAAGTACCAGGATGACTCAGCGCCCAGCCAACGTGGTCGTCGCTGCCATCTTCAAGCGCAGGAGACGCCTTTGTAAATGCCAAATAGTAGTCCTTTGCTAAGTGAAACGGAAAAAACGATCTTGTTCTAAAAATCCGAATAGTGTGCACGGGGAGCAAGATCACTACCAATCCCAGTTTTATATTTTTTCGGGCACAAAACAAGGCAACACGATGGTGTAGTTTACAATACGCGGAGCTAAAAAATGGAATAGAATGTCGGTCTCTATGGAAAAAAGCCAGGATCATACAAAATTTTTATCTGAAAATTCAGTTTTTGTGTATTGCGCGCGCTTACATTGTTATTCAAAAGAATTGTAAATCAATTTTGTATTTATTTTGACAATGAAGGTTTTTTTTAAATAAATGTCAATAAATGTTATATCATTAATAAAATCAATAATCAGACGGATTTTTTTTGCTTTTGATTAAGAACAATACTTTTACGTGTTTTGCGGTGTAAAGATTTAACTAGTGGTGCGTGGCAACATGCCTTAAGGCAAGTTGCTTGAACTTCCCGTACCGCAAATTAAAATTACATAGATTAGATTAGAAACTATTAGATATTGGAGAATTTTGAATTTTTTGAAAAAAAAAATATTTCAAAGCAATTGCGCTGCATGGGCATTTTAGAAATGAAATATCAGGGTTGAGTATTATAAATCTTGGTACGTAACCCATAGAAATGTAAAAAATCTTATTATTAAAATCTTTTATAATTTGATGCGAATATATCTAATAATAATTCTTGATCGCCAAGACATTAATTTTTACTTTTTTCATTGGACCTCTAAAACCGCTGGGCGTACCTCAGTCAGAAAGACCCTGTTATCTAAGATAGTTTTTTTGACAATTGTTCGGTTTCTTGGTTATGTTTTCTACCTGACAACCTGAAAAAACGCCTGACTGCACAGCAACCAGGTGGCTTTGTCAATATTTGTATAAATGTAAAGTTTATGCAAACATACTTATTGAAGTCAATTTTAGTTTTAAAGGCAATTAAGCATAGGACCGAGTATGTCCTTTGCTTCCTATTCCTGGCAATTTAGTTAAATATTTTATTTATTTATTAGTTAACGAAATACAATTTGAGAAAACAAAGCACGCGTCTATTTATTTATTTACAACATTGTTTTCATCAATTGGGTAAATTTGATTATATTTGTCATTTTCAAATTTGTTGGTTTAAGTGATATTCATAAATTGAGTGATGAAAACCAATATTCTCTACTAAAAATAAATAAACGATTTTTGAAATCCTGTA